TGCGCAGGGGCGGCCCCGGGCAGCCAGCAGGCCGCAGGCCGCTTCCCTGGCTCTCACTCTTCAGCACAGAGATTTTGCACAGCCTCAAACTAACAGCTGTTTCTCTGCGGCCGAATCGGAACCTCACGTATTACTAATGACAACGTGCCACGTACTAAACGCTTCAAAAAAGAAATTCTGCCCAACAGCATTTTATCAGGTGCATTTTCAAGCGCTACGCTTTGACCTAGCAGCAACTTAAAGAGGGCGTGATGCAAAATTTCACTTTAAAATCAGCGGTTCGACTGACAAGAAAGAAGAGTATTTGAAACAACGATAGCTTTTACAATCTAAACCACTCGGGGCTTCTGTGGAAAAATAGATTTATCATGTCACATTAGTCAGACTCAAAGCTCAAGATACCAGGAGTCTACCTACCAATATCTGTAGCTTAGAAATAGCAATTTGCTCCTTTATTAAGAGATGTTTTCATTATTACCCACATTATAAAGATATGAGAAAACTGGCTACAGATAAGCAGTGAAGCCAATCATGCAAAAGATGCATGAAATAAAACACAGAAGCAAGGCTTTTAAGAAAAAAAAATGAATTATAGCTATCTTTACAAGTTATTGTTAACTTTTCAGAGAGGTGTGATTTTGATCATACTCCTTTAAATATCTGGTTCAGTTTTGGAAAAAAATCACTACATTTAAGCTGCTAGCTTGCACTCTGAATAGATAATTAAGTCTGTGTGTTGGCGGTTCTTTTTTTAAACAAAGGTTACACTTCTCTACTGATGTAGATGATGCAGAATAACTTTATGTCAGTGCTATCTGGAGATGATGATTTAGTGGTTAAAGGATCAAATTTGAAATGAATTAATCTCCCTGGTTGTACAGATCGTACCAATGGGACTGCAACAGAAATATTTAAACACAGAAATAACCACGTAACCTAATATTTTTTTCTCTTTTTCTCTTCTTGGAGTGGCATATACACATCATTCTTTCATCATTTCAGGAATGGCTAATTCGACACCATACGCCTTTGGCCAAAGTCGCAGCATCCATAGCCAAAGTTTTGGGACCTGCCGTAAGCAGCTGATCTTGTTCAACCATTCAGTGAATCAGTCGTCCCACAAAACTGAGCATAAGCGTGTGTTACCTTCAATTTTCAAACAATTACAAATCAGGTCTAAGAAAGATGTCAATATTTAACTGGTTAGGATAACCAGCTGTTTTGGTGGAACCAAACTGAGAATCCAGTGTCCTCATTACTGCTATTTCTCCTCCTTGTCATCTTGTCACCCTATGGGAAAACTGGAAACAGAAATAAGACAATAATTCTGTGATTCAGGACATGGCTATTTTTAAGGACAGGCGAGGCATTACGGACCCTTGCCTACATGTCAGACAACTAATGCAACACTGCTCTTAAGAAAAATGCAGCAACAAACTGCAGTCTCCAGCAGGAAACAAAATGAAGAAGTCAAGCAATACTTAGGGGTTTGATGATTCAGTGGATCATTAGCACAAATGGTTTTAGAGACGTGAATAAGCCTCTCACCAAGCATACATATACATATTTTAAGATAAGGAGCCTAGCTTCTAGAAAAATGGATGGCACTGCTTTTTTAACTACTGATCAGGCAAAGCTTCTAATTTGCCAGTGGCAAGACTTGCTCTGTACCGCTCCCTGGACTTGCAGACATCTAAGCATGCTACTGTATGGCAGCAGCTTGTATAAGTGCCATAATCACCACTGTTATGCTGTAAACAGTCTTCAGCGGCAGGGGAAATTTCAAAGTGTGTTGGCACTACAGTTCACATAGACAAATCACCATAGCTGCAAGTTGGTGAAAAGGGAACAGTTTGCAGGCTTGGACCCAAAAATGTCACCAGCCAGCATGAATCCCGTTTGATCCACCAAGGCACAGAGGTCCACAAGGTCTCACCTACAACTACTGCCAAGACAGATGGTGCTCAGCGAGAGAGGATTTTAAAATCAAAGAGTTTTGGGTAGCCCAGATTCTTCAATTCCAGATATTTAGTAATTACCAATCTGAGACTTTGAGTCTTTTCCCTGTCATTCCCTGCTATTCCTTCCCACACCACACAGTCACCTTCTAACAAAACTTTTCCTCTTCTCTTAGTATCTCTTTGCAGTCTTATCAGCACCTGCTAAATATGCCTTTTTAAGGCCTGAGCGTACTCTATAAAAGATACTAGATCACAAGTATAACTTGCTCGATCATTATCAGTCTTATGCTGATTGTTCCTACAATCACTGCTAGTTTTTGACTAGGTTTTGACATAAAGAAACCAGCTCCATTTACCTTAAACCTCCCTGTTCCTCAGCCCATTTCTATTTTGTTTGCTTTGTAGCAATAAGGCAAAAGATGATCTGGAAAACGAACATAAGCAGATAGTGCGGTGGCAGGAACAGCAGCAGAAATGGGGCTGCATAGGAATCTTGCTATTAAAGAACAGGACATTTCTCTTTTTTACATGGAGCTTTAACTACCCAAATGCAGGACTACTGGAAGGTACTCTTCATTGGTTCTCTTCTGATATGTGCAAAGACGACTGAACATAATCAAAAGAGTAAAAATGGTAAGACATTTCAGTTGGGTCACTATTTCTCATGAGCTCCACATCCTTTCTTTA